GAGTGTGACACCGCCGAGTCAATGGAAATGAAAACAAAAATGAGGAGATACAAATTAAAACATTTCCAACTAGCCTGGCCACTCGATCGGATTTGTGAAAACGAGGCGGCCGATCTGTAATTCGAAAGATTATGTTTTCCTCAATGGCCCGGGCAGGTGGTAGGCGAGGTGAAACTCACTTCTAAGCTCAGCTCCGAATTTGTCACCCGAATTTCTCCCAGTCTCTGTCTCAGTCCCAGTGCCAGTACCAGTCCAGTTTGTATCGAATTCTCCTCAGATTTGAGGAATATTTTGACGGTCCTACTCACAAGTGAGCTAGTCAACAAGATGGCAAGCCCCCGGCACACTCTACCCCCTCGGAGACGGGTCTGTGTGGGTTTACGCGATCCCCCCGGGAGCCCCGACGAGCCGACAAAAGAAATTTGATCTATTTCACGTGATTAGCGCAATATAAATTGCTTCGGAGCCGAAGCCGGAGAAACGGAGTGAGAAAAGAGGCGAGAAGAGATGACTTTGGAGATTTGCCAGCGGCGTTGATCAATTGAAGACCTGAAAGCCTGAAGATTGAAGAGTGAAGCCCCGAAGATTGGGTGAAACCGTATTGAGGTGTGTCATAGAACAGGTACATAAAATAAGACAACATCAATACCTGAAGGCTGGGGAGTGGCAGCAGCTCCTTGATGAACCAAGTGACTCAAATCGATTCATTCAGTTTTCTAAAAAGACCAAGCTTGGTTGGGGCTTCAATCCCAATAAGAGGCGAGTCGAAATCGTGGAAAACGTTAACCAGATGCCTCGAATTCTCTCCTTCCTGCCCCGAACGAGGAAAAAAACATTAACAAGCTTGGCTTGTGCCTTCAATTGTTTGGGTCTTCCTGGAATTGGTGGAAACAAAAAGTTCAGAGACTCCGAGCCTCAAAGACCTCCAAGAACTTGCCCCAAAAAAAGCTGAAAACTGAAAAAATAAGCAATAAAGTGGAATAAAATAAAGCCACCAAATTAAGACACGCGCCCGAAAAAGTTCTTGAAGCAAGACAGAAAACATTTGAGCATTCGAGCAAAGGGGGCTAGCGGTACCGGATAGTCCGGAGTACGGAGTACGGGGAGTAATTATATCATTTAATTTCGGTTAGACAGAGCCGGAGCACTTAAAGTACAGGTGCCCGCATCGAGAGCCCGCCCCTCCGCCTCTCCGCCCTTCTCGGATTGTAATTGCAAAGTTACGAAGCGTTAACACCGCGTGAAGATCGGCCAACTTGATTGGGATTTCGGCTTTTGAGGTTGATTCCCGCGGTGGCTCTTTTGGGGCTTATGTAAGGCCCCGATGCTCTTGATTGATGTTCCGCTTTATCGAGCAATTAATCAATGATTTAAGGAGGAGTATTAGGGCGTTTAGGCTTCCCACTCCACCCGGGGCCTTAAATTAAATCCAGTGCTGAATGGAGGCCATGGAAAGCGACTTGATCAGAGGGGCCATAATAGCTTAATGCAATTGTTTTGGAAGCTAGGGACTCCAAAGAGCCGTGACTCATCTTCGCCCTTTCTCCCGGCGGAGCACAGCTCCGAAATTTCTATTTATATTAAAAATTATAAAGTGAAAGTGCAGCGGTCAGTCACTCGATCGGGCAACTCGACAACGCAAATCAATTACTTGTCAATACGTAAATGCGAACATTTATGGTATTTGCTTTGTATTGTCTTGTGTTGTGTTAGCCGGGCTCGATGCCATCTCAGTCACCTTATTTATCGACTCATTACACATTATTTGCCCAGCACTCGGCACTTGAATTTCGTGAGTGTTTCATTCGGCAGCTGCATTGTATAATGAACAGAAACAGCAACAGCAACAAGGCATAATAATTATAATTTTCCTCTAATGACAATGTATAATGTGCAAATAATTGCTTGCCAAAAAAGGCTGGACGTGGAATAAAATAAATAGGCAAATATAAAAGGCGATTTGCCAACGATGAAGTCTCAAAAAGACATCGCCAGTTTTGAAATGAGATTCAGATGGTGGAGCAATGGTGAGGGCCTGCCAGGGTTTCGGCAATAGGCTTTATAGAAAGATGATTATAATATCAGCCTATAGCTTATCTTAGCTCGTGCTGGACCAGACATTTATCTCAATTACAGGGCTTTCGCTACTCATCTCGAATGCTAATGCCTGTGAGATGGTGTGAGATCATTAAGAATCTTCTACCTTTTCTAATGATGATATGGGTTTCGCCTCGACCCGACTCACTGCGCCAAAACTCGTTTCAGCCAATTCCAATCGATTTAGCTATTCCCGTCGATTATTGCCTCTGCGGCTTTGCGTCTGTATTTGTTACATCATGATGTATTATGGGCAAGACCGTAGAGGAAAAAACCAGGAGGTGGGCACAAAAAAACGATACCTAATCAACATGTGAACAACTTTTCACCCGGCTCTCGTGTCTAGGGTTTGGTTTTTGCTTCCTGATTGCGTTTCAGCCCCTCTGACAGGTGCTGATTAGCTCACAGCTCTTCTGTTGCAGCGGTGGCAGTTGCAGTTGCAGTTGAGATTTCTGTTGCAAGCTCAGTCTCCGTTTCAGTTGCAATTTAAATGCCAAAAGTATCTGCCTTTTCTCCCCCTTTTCGAGCTGCGTTTTGTCATTCTCTGGGTGCGTGTGCCATAAATAACTCTGGAATTGCTCCCGGCTATGGCTTATGTAAGTTTTATGCACTTTTTATGCACCCAGAGTTCGAGCAAGCCCCGCAAAACGTTGAGAAAACAAAAGACTTAGGACGCGAACTTTTTCGGCTTGCCAGTTACCGATTCAGATTTCGCTGAGGTTGTTGCTCTCCATGCGGGGATGGCTCAGAACTGCAATGGAACGTTCAAATATAGAGAATCAGAACACTTTTCGAATTCAAAAGCTTATCTTTTCCAGCACCATTTTGGGTCGAGAGTATCTGAAAGTTCGTCTTCTCTGAGGCCTTGGTCGTGTTTGTGGATTTTATTGTAACTGCTTTTGTGCCAGGCGGAGCGCTGCTTCTACTCGCTTCCTATTAATTTATGTTAATTATTTTTAAAAGAAAAAGCCACACCATGTAAGCCCCTCGTCTTCGGTGGGTTTTGGGTTGCTGGGTCTTCTGCTGCTGCTCCGAAGCTCTTCCCTCCGCTGGCTTTTTTCTCAGCTGGGCACACACAAGTTCACTGACTTGTTGACAATGAATTGACAAAAGCCCGATCCCTAGCCCGAACCCCCTTCCATCGCCAGCCCAGAAGATAGCGGTCGAAGAAAGAAAGAGCCCCGAGACGAGGAAGCGTCGTCAGTGGGAAGAGCCCAACAATGGAGATGATACCACGAAATGCCAGGCATAAGTACATTACACACATGGGCATCTTCCAGATGCTCGGAGGTGTGCGAATGTGGCAAGAACACTACCCCAGAGGTGAGAGAAATTCCCGCCAAGAGTTTCTGATTCTGGCCACCGAACTATAGAAGCTGGAAATAAATTCAAGAGTTACACTCAGCTCATAGAGTGCCCTATAGGCGTGTACTTACAGGCGTTCTATGAATCGAACTTAAAACTTCTATCGATCGACCCTCGCAGACTGAAAATTAAGACGATTTGCCGAATCGCCTCCGGGCACCTCAAATTAAAAGGTTGCGTTTATTTTCTGTCGGCAGAGTCTTCATACTCTATTAGGTTCTGGCTTAGAGTCCGATGACGATAATGATGCCAATGATGGTCCGATGAGATGGCCAGATAGCTGATGTCATGACAGGATTTGCCGGAGCCGGTTTTGGTTTTTAATTCGCTTTTTGCTCGGCAATTAAATAACTTTTTGCACCGGTCGGATGCGGGAATAACAAAAGCGTTAAATTGAGGTCAGCGATTTAAAAATAAACCCACAATAACCTGTGTACAGCAAATTGAAATCAGAAATGTAAACGGAATGTGTTTATCATCAAATGACGAGCGCATCCTATACGCGATCCCAGTTACTTTCTCTAGGAGGAGGTCTGGCTTGTGAAGTCCTTAGAGTCCATCACCTGCTTGGCTGAAGACAGAGGTGTCGGGAATAGGTGTCCCTGAAGCTCTTGCCCTCAATCGAGGGGCCGGTGAAGTGCCATAAATGCCTTCGTTTGGCACGACTCCTACTATAGGTCTTGTTTGTTTACACTTTTTCTCTTTGTTTCGATTGCAAATCAAGGTTAATGGCTGGCTGGCGGCTCGCCTAGCTCTGGTTTTCCTGCTGCTTGGCTTTTTTAACAAAATGCGTACGCATGCGCACACCTTTCCAATCATCCAGTCATTCAATCGACCACAAATTTTCTGTCATGCACGCATAAAGGCAATTTGCATAAAGGCCCGGCTAACTGTAATTGTAAGCCAGCGCCAGCCCCAGCACCAGCCAAATCGGCTAAGACCGATCCGGTACAAGCTGATTGGTAACGGTCACGAACGGTCTTTGCTTTGTTTCTTGGCTCGCCCACGACTCGATCGGCTCCAACTTGGTCGACAGACCATATTTTGTCACTCTAATGGGGAGCCGAACACTCCGGTACTGGGACTACTGACACGGAATCGAGGAAGCTATGATCTGGGGAGAGGCAAAAGCAGTAAACACAAACTAATCGAAGCATGGTGCTAACACTTACGTATCTGGCATTCCTTTCCAATTGATATTCATTCATCATTAGGCCTATTCACCCTTAATCCTCCATAAAAAGGTCAAAATTCTTATTCCAACCCCATTGTTTCCAAACTATAAAATGGATGACTTGATATGTTAAAAAAACAAAAACAAGTATTTGGCGAGATGAATCCTTGAAAAAATATTTATTGGTTTGAAAAAAAAAATGGTTTGAAAAATAATACATATTCGTTATGTTTTTCGTGGCTGCTTTAACCCTGGCCAAGATGCTCCAGATGCACCACATTCATTTTCTCCGCCGCAGTACTGTCATCTTCAAAAATAAATGGCTCGCTATTTCGAGCTTTCCCAGCTTTTCCAGGGGGGTTTCTTAGTAAAATTGGTGAAGGACCATCTCCTCGGGGTCTGGAGAACTGGCGCCAACCTCCTCCTCCACCGTTTCTTCGGCGCCAAACAACATATCCATAAATTCTCGGTCCAATTCCGATTCAGTGTCGAATGGTGGAGTACCTTCCTTGATCTTTGATCCTTTCTTGTCAGAGTCCATTTTGCGACGAGACTTCTCGTCTTTACGCTTCTTTGCGTGATCCTTATCCTTCTTGTTACGACGCTCCAAGTTGCGCTTCTCCGACACCCCTGGGGGACTGGCCTTGGTGTCTCCGAGTTTGTTTTTTGAAGAAGTATTTGTGTTTAAACTATACTTCATGCGAACACCTGGGAATTGTGGCTTGGACTTTTCCTTGTCCTTGCGACTTGACTTTTTGTGATCCTTGCTGGAAGAGGGCTCCACTGGGTTTTGTTCCGCTTCGTCATCTGCGCTATATTGGAGGTTCGCGCGGTCCTTGGACTTGGAGCTTTTCTTCTTTTCGGCATAGTGGGATTCTGAGTCAGCCGAAGTTTCTAGAGATTTCTTCTTCCTAGGAGGGGACTTCGGAGCGAGTGGCGACAAAAGCAAGTGCTTTATTTGTTTTTTCGATGACGATTTATTTTTTTTGATGTTCTTAATCTTCACCCCCTTGAACTGGGACTTTTGTTCATTTTCATCGGACTTCTTGTGCTTGCGTTCTTTGCCATTTCGCAGATGGCTTTGGTGTCCATTGGTATATTTCTCCACGTGCTCGCGATTTCTATTCTCTTTGGGTGAGGGCGGCACTTTCGGGGGCACCTGCTTTATCCCGACCCCATCGATCGGTGGCAATTTTCGCTCACTGGATTGTTTTTCAATGAGTTCAATAATTTGTTTTTTATTGTTCTCAATAATGCGTTCCAATTCGTCCAACCTCTCCAACATTCTGCCATGAAAAGTCGCTTCAAACTTGGCCAACGTGCCGTAGCACTTGTTCAAACCTTGCATGGGCTCCCACGTGGCTGCATCAAGGCTGTAGCCCATCCACTTCACTTTGTATTGGATATTGCCTCCAAATAGGCGCTTGTCAAGAATCTCTTCAACCTCAAACTCCGGATCGTTGATATAATCCTGCGGAATAGCGCCCGGCGGTCTCATCGTGTCTGCGGAGTTATTTACCAAAATTTCCAGGAATTTCAACCAACCTCGTTCGAAGTGCAAAAAGAAAAGGAACGGAAGCGGCAGCTTGACGGAAATGGAGCTTTTCCACCACTATCGATAAATACTACCAATTATATAATACCAGATTATCAATTAGTCTGGCCAGATTGGGTTGATCAGCTGAGAATCACGGTACAAAAGGTTGTTCTTTTGTTTAAATTATAAGTTAAACTTATTGTATAAAAATCAAGAATACCTATTTGGCAGCCTTGTGGATTCTGTGGGAAAATATTTTCAAGGCCTATTATGATTTTTGTGATTTGTTCAGAATTTATTTTTTGTCGATAATTTGTAAAATTTTATTGAATTAAAATCGATGGCAAGGGTCAATTAATTTAAGGGTCAAAAATGAAAATTACCGCAAAATTCATACCGTTCTACCTTAAAAAAAGTTTATTTCTGGCACGTGAAATATCGATTAATTAAAGTAAGTGTTGCCAGTGTTGAAAAATCCATTGTTTACAAGTCTTTAAATTCATTTTCAAAACATTTGCCTTAAAAGGTCGATTTCTATTGGAAAAGCTGGCTAATAAGATACAGGCAGCAGATCCAAACCTCCTGCGATTGGGAAAGTCGCCTGCCTTATGGAGCATCGAAGGAATCCTAGCCCCTGGCGATCGGCGATCGGTGTTTGGTGATCGGCAATCAGGAGCAGCCACAACGTTCAAAGTTTCAATGAACCTTCACAGAGTTTTGCCAAAACAATGGAAAGTGAAATTGTCACCAGACATTCGTATTTTTTGGTGGGCATCTGGATTTTCTCCGACTCCGAGCACGTTTGTTTTCCACATACTTTTTGGCTGGTTGGACCGAGGAGGGATCAATGAAAGTCACCGTTCGCATGTTCGCATAATCATGCCAAAAACGGCAACAAAAGACCACCGACCCATGTGAGGGAGTGAGGCGAAAGGAGAAAGGTGGACTGTTGACCTGGTCGGGCGCTGGTGCTTCTCACCTGCGGCTGGATGGCACACATTCGAGCCTCTGAAGGACGTTGGCCAAAGGTCAGAGGCTCCGACTCCCAAGGCGACTCCCGAGGCGACTCCCAAGCCTCCTTGTCGGAGGCGCCGTCAGCGCAAGACGCAAACGGAATACAATTAACAATTAAACATTCAAATGCTCAAATGTTCAAGTTGACAGCCAACAACTTTCACCAATGCCACGGCGAAAATAAAGTAAAGCCAAGTAGGAGAAGCAAACCTCCCATGTCATGGAGAGGCGACCAAACTCAGCGAGCCAGCCGATGTCAATCAAAAGCAAGAAATAAGAAATGCCATCCGCAGACACGGACAGGTATCTTTTAGGTACTTTTCATTTGCAGTTACCATAGTCGTTTTTGCACAATGTGCGATTCCATTGAGAAATTGAGAAATGCTGAAGGTTAAAATGCAATTGAATGAAAAGAAATACAAATAATTGGGCAGACATGAGAGGAAAGCTAAAGAGGCTGCCGTTTCGAGTTCTCTTACCTTACCTTACCTTACCTGCCAACACACTTTTCGCAATTTGCTTAATAAATTAGCCCTATTATTTGGGGTAGTCTTTGATCGAAGCAATCACGTCTCTGGCCTAATGGCTATGAAAGTGATTTCAATTTAGGGTCAATTACAAAAGGGGTTCAAAGTTGATTCTATTCAAACAGGTACCAAGCAAGAAATATATTTAGCTTTTGTTTGAAACATTTTAGCTTTGTTTGTTTGCTTTTCAAGCTCAAACTGCATTGAAATGCAAATGCGTTGGCCTTTTTGGGTGAGATGCTGGCCAGTGGCCTCACTGTTAATATTCACTTAGCGGACATTGTGGCTTGGCTCATTGGTTCATTAGCATTTGGCTTTCTACTAGTGGCAAATTAATGTCCAAAATATTTGTACGTGATTTCGAATGCGGTCTTTTGTTGGTAAAATGTGAAGAAAGGAATGGCGCTGCATTTGTCAAATGCACTTTGTGGGAAAGTTGCTTCGAAAGGAAAATATCCAAACATGACAATGGCACAATTTATGTAAAACACATATAAATATTTGTATTTTCTTTTCAGCCCCTCGGCCTTTGTTTCTGTTTTTTTATTGTTCCATGACATTTAAAATATTTACACTGTTGACCGAACTCTGAGGTCGTCTGAGATTTGTGATCGAAGGGAAATGAGCAAGTTGCGCAATTCGAAGGAGACATATTGAATACTCACCGACTGCCGAATATATTCAAATACGCCTCCCAATATCCAAAGGTATCTGAAAAATGCAATTTTTTAATACAAATACAAACAAAATACACCGTGGACAAGAAATGCCAGGCAATCACTCAAATGGCACTCCAAAAAATGTCATAACAAGCCCACAAAGCACTGCAAGACTGTAGAAGCAAAAAGACCAACTCTGAACTGAAATGACAGCCAAAACAAATAAAAAATCGCAATTGAAATGCCAAAGCTAAATGGCAGCGACAAAAGTCAGAGTAAACCAGCGCCAAGATTATTTGTTTTTATGGTCTTGACAGTGTTTTGAGGCCTTTAAGCTTTGTACACAAAATAGCCATTGACGGAGACAACCGGCAAGTAACCTATCGAACCCACAAGATTCTTGATTGGAACCTCAGAAGACTCCACTGCTGCGACCCACAAAGAAAACCAAAACCAAAACTTCAAAAGAAAAAGAAACATACTCTTTGGCTTTTTCAGACTTTGCTGCGGATAATTGCGGCATTTTAAAAGCGCTTGCATTGTTTTCCGAGCTGGTGGCGGATTATGCAACTGCCCCTGCCCCAGCCTCTGCCACCTCCTTGCTGCCACCTCTCCCCGCCGTCCAACTTGCAGCAGCAGCGGTGGCAAACATGGAAAAACAGTTATCTGTGAAATTGCATCGACAAACGTGATGAACGTTACCCCAATACACATTTCGAGGCTCGCGAATCTCGAATGCCAGTCGGAGGTCTACACTGGGGAAAAAGACGGCAACTTTGGAGCCGGAAAACTATTATGGGAGGTTCTGCGATAACCGTACATGCCGTTTTTTTGTAGTTAATAATCGGCTGCCATGTGTCTCCGCCAGACTGCCATTCCGGGTGCCTCATTCTCATGTCATGTCCCAGACAATGGTGCATCCAATGGATGGAGGTGGAAAGATGCACCGAAGATGCACTTTTACCTGCTCAGTTCCCAAAGCAAGCCCAAAAACACACCCACGTTGACACAGTCTCCCATCGGGGGCAGGTTCAAAAGTTTAGCTACTCTGAGGAGGTATTGTAGTCAACTATAGAATACTTATACTAATACTTTAAAACCAATAATTAAACCATAATCATATCATGGCAGATTCGAGAGCAGTATTGATCCAGAAGATCGTGTTCTATGAACGATACACAAGTTTCTCAACTTCAAGGGCCTCCCTCTCACCTCTCCACAGCCGTTGGGAATTTGTGTTAACATCAGAGTTGCCCCTTCCCAGGTAATTACATCTCCTGTGCAACTAACTAACACACACACACTTACTCACCAAATTCACAGTTGCAGTTTAATGGGCCTAATGAGCGGTTTGTTCTGTAACAACAGCGACAACAACCACAGTCCAGAAGACACAAGCAACAATGCACACAGGCAACAACAACTAATTCACCCAGTTGCGGTGGCTGTGCCACATATTTTTTTCGTGTTTCTCGTTTTCCGACTCTCTTTACATCACTTGTCTTGGGGGCAAGTTCGTTTCCTAAGTCTTTTGTTTTGCTCGCTGGCGTGGGTAAAAAGTCCAAGACAAAACGCAAACAGAGCAGCCAGAAACATCAGAAACTGAAAATCAGCACCACCAGAGTCGAAAAAATAAAGCGCATAGAGTTATTTTCGCCAGGGCCACGCCCCTCGATCAAACGAAACAACGCCCCGAAATCTGTGTCAGTCCATGGTTCATTTTTCTCCCCCGTCGTCTTTATTCATCAGCGAAACAAACAGAAATTTGTTCATAGAAACCCATTCGATTATGACACTGGTTATGAAATCTCCCCCGCCGACCGAGTGGGGGAGAGAAACGAAATCTTGCCAGTATCCAAATCAAAGACTGGTCTTCTCTCTCCCGCTCTCCCCCCATTTTTGACCAAGTCACGCTTTCTTTGGGCTTCGATTTCAAAGTCTGTTTGTTTATTTTTGCACTAATTACAAGCCAAGTGCTAATTTGATTCCAGCTGAAGGCAGTCAAGGCGAAGAGATACCAACCCATGCGTTCCACATTCGAGTCGGCTCTGACTCCCCTCCCATGCATTTGCATTTGATTTGGAAGCCTATATCTGGGCATAAAATTGAAATAAGGAAGTGTTTGGTGACTCAACCCAAACAACAAACCCGTTTGGCGCCGAGTGCAGAAATCGAAACTCACAAATTGGGGAAACCTTCGAGTCCAGTCCCAGTCCGGGAAATCGTATTTTGGCCACCAATTGATTTGGCCAGCACATGCAAGGTTCGTTAGCCGGAGGTAGCTGCTTTTACGGCCGTAAAGCCGGCCACAAATCAAAAGGAAGCGATGCGCGGCAGATAGTCGGACAAATTAAGCAAAAAGTCACCCTGCCCTGCCCTGCCCAGCCGCGGATGATGGTTACGTGGCTCTGGAAAAAGGGGGCGCGTCAATCGGCGGTGGGCAAGGTTGCATCATCGCGTCATTATAATCGAAGACCCACAAAGACAATGGGCTGCGTCTATGGTAGGGTCTCGACACCTTTTTGCCGCTGCTTTTATTTGCTTTTTATCGAGTTGCTTGTTTTTTTTTCTGGCTGCCACCACCGAGGGTTGCACGCCCAAATGGGAAACGCTTGAATGGAGTCATGTGATAGCCATGAGCTTGCAACTGGAACTCTGTGAGTGAGTCGATCCGAGTGTAGTCAAGTGATGACTGGGTCTGCGGATTTGCTTGACTTGGCATTCGCCGATTGTCGGGATTGCAATTAAGGTTTTGCTGCCGCGCTTCGGTGCACCTCATATCATATCAAACTCCAGGTAGGTATGCACTTAGAGACTAAGTCGGAGTCCACTAGGAGGGAAGGAGGGGCTTTGCAGTTCCCAGCCCTAGACATCAGAAACAAAAAAGGGGGAAGTGCTTGGGTAATCGATAGGCGAGTAGCAGGTATCCACCAGATATACCCTCTCATCGCCGCATAATGCCATAATTGTGTGGCATTAGTAGCTGCATTCAACCGCAGACACATTTGCTTCGATAAGGCCCCCTGATCCAAGCCAGTGCGTGTTCGTTTATTCAGCGCTAGTTATTATGTCACACTTTTGCTTTTCGCTTCCTGGGCTGGTCGAGTCGGCCAATTACTGGGCTCTATAATCGCACCCTAATCATCGGTATGTGGGGTATTCCCCTTCGGGTTGAAAGTTGAGCGGAGATACATTCGTCAAGTATCTCCAGAGGAATGGTTGGTAGCCAGATGTGCTGACAAAATGCAAATAAATAGCCAATTCATTTGAAAAATTGAATTGTGAAAGGATGCATCCCCAGCCTCTCCATCATCTCCAGTATATTGCAACATTAATTGTCAAGTGATTTGCCAAGAGGCTTTGAATGGTGGAAAAAGCCGTATTTCAAGAGTGCCTGGTCGCTTCCAAGGGGCTTCCACACTGTCTGTGTTTCTCCATTACTCCACTCCACTGATTTATCGGGCTTGTTTTAATTCATATACATTTTTTTTTGTACTTAAATCTGAACGAGTCTGCGACCTTCGGGGCTGCTTGACAAAAAATATTCGACAGTTTTCTGTGCACCCTTCGGAGGCATTGAAAGGTTTCGCCTTGGGAGTGCATTCGAGACGGGAAATGATTTCAGAGCTGCGCGTTATTACCTCTTTCGTTCGTACTTTTCGGGGCTTCTCTGGGAACTTTTCGATTACGCCGATCCCCGGGCCAAGGTTTCCAACAAAAGGCACGCGTAGCGCCGCAAACAGGTTCTATAACTCACAATTATCATAATAATTTGTGCTTAAACTTGATGGTCTTGCCAAGAGAATGTCAGAGGGGAGTATCATCGAACCATAGTGGCTCCTAAATACCCCACACATCCCGTATCGGTTTCCTATTTGTAGTCTTTTGTTGGAACTCCACAATTAGTTGGCACTTGTGTCGAAAAATAAACACAAACGAGAATAACGTGAACGAGAAATAAACGCTAATCACGATTATTAAATATCTCGACTACATGAATCATGACGCTTTCGGCGTTTTTTTTGGCTATTTGGCCAGCATTGGTTACCATTTTTCCATGGACTTTGAATGGCGGAAGTAGGAAATCATGTTTTGAAAAGCGCCGCCAAAAAATACACACGACAATTATAAATGGCTGTGGGCTGTTACCAAGATTGGTTGCCAATATGGACCGATATGGAGCATGCCGAATGCAAATCGAGTCTGCCAAAGCTCCAACTTCGATTCTCCCAGGCCAGGCCAGCCAGCCAAGTTAACAGAGTCAGTGGGTCATTGGTGAGCCATTGAATGGCAAAGATCAAATATTTCTGACACGCTTTGTCATTGCCTGGCTCGAAAACATTTCAAAAACAATCCAAAGCCCGAGACAAAGCCATCGATTTCGATCGCCGAGGGCCGTCTCCATGAATTGAATAATTAGGCATCATTGCCAGGACAAATCTGTTTTTAATTTCCACAATAGACGGTCTATAGCTTCCATGTAAATAGAGATCCAAACCTCATGCCAGGGCCAGGCCAAGATATGGATTTGAATTGTGGGATATTCTGACACAAAGTGGACCATGCTCTTCTGATAATTGTGTGGGAAAAGCGGGTAATAATATGAATAAGGCAGATGTAGAGCTGAAATTTCTCCAATGTCAGCAATTGAAAATAGACCATTAGTTGGTATTAATATATTTACCTTTGTGGGCCACTTTTTGCAACTGCCCACTTAAAGTCACCTCCAAAGCCCCACAAAATGATATACTGTATACGGGCCAGACATGTCCAGTTAATGCTGTGAACCTTGTGCCTTAATTAAGTTTTAATGCCCGCCACTTTCGGTTTCGGTCTGGGCTTGGGTTGGGGTTTGGGTTTCGGTGTCTGTCCCACAGTACTCCCCGGCTAACGAGGGCGCTTCTTGACTGGCCTCTACTTTTATTTTGATGTTTATTTTGGTTGGGTGTTTCACTTTTATTTTCATTAAATCGAGACTGTTGTGGCAATTGAAAGTGCTGTCAATTTTCGCGACTCGCCGGCGACAACAACGACTTTTCACTTTTCTGAAAA